TAGAAAATATATAGATAAAGTAACAGAACATCAGAAGAGCCCTACTGGATCAGAGCAGTGAGGGTCCCTCTAGTCCAGCCTCCCATTTCACACAGGGGCCAGCCAGTTCCTCTGGAGGGCCGACAACAGGGCAGAGAGGCGGAGGCCTTCCCCTGATAAGGACACCAGAAGAGCCCAGCTGGGTCAGACCAGTGAGGGTCCATCCAGTCCAGCCTCCCGTCTCACACAGGGGCCCAACCAGTTCCTCTGGAGGGCCAACAACAGGTCAGAGAGGCCGAGGCCTTCCCCTGAGAAGGACACCAGAAGAGCCCTGCTGGATCAGACCAGGGAGGGTCCATCTAGTCCAGCCTCCCGTCTCACACAGTGGCCAGCCAGTTCCTCTGGAGGGCCAACAACAGGCCAGTATCAATAACCATGCTATCATAGGAGGCTATACCAGCATTAGAAGGCTTTTGTTAGTTTCCAGTTAAATTTTGTTAATTTCTGAACTGATGCCCCATAAATAAGATTTTGTAAACAACTGCAGAACTACTTTTGGAATGACTGTCCCCTTACTGTTATTTACATATACTTAGAAGAAAATATTTTGTAACGTGATTGAAACCGGTTTCACTGACAAAGTTCAAAGAGATCTAGGGTCTATAGTTCCGGGATCCTCGTGTGATTCTTCTTTCAAATGACTTGATGATTCTTCTGTCAATACTCCATTCTGTGATAACGTGGATTCGTCTCGTAATTACCCTTTGATGATTTCAAAATTGCCCTTACCTTTGTAAGTGAACATACAGACTCGAGTGAAATTTCAGGCTATAAACTCTGGCACAACAGATATGAAAAAACCGAACACAAGTTTTATAATCAATTTAGATTTCTTTGGTGTCTTATTACAGTTTGTTTGTTTTTTTGCTGTCACTTTTCTCAGGGGGAACTGATCTCTGCTGTCCGGAGCTCAGCTGTAATAGTGAGAGATCTCCAGGTGGCACCTGGAGGTTGGCAACCATGGCAGCCAGGAGGATTGGCCCTTTTTCTGCTGGGAACAGAACTGACTCTATAGTCAGGCAGTGTCAGGTACGCCCCACCTCTTCTGCGAGGGAGACTCTATGGATGCTGCCAAGCCACCCACCAGCTGTAGGAGCCTCCGTAGAGGAATGCAAAGGGGGGGGGAGGATGACACTCACCCGCTCAGCTGTCTCCTCCACGTCTGGTAGGGATCGAAGAGGCATTCGCAGAGGTGCAGGGCGTACAGAGTGATGTTCTCCAGCTGACCCCGGTGTGGCAAGCCCTGGCCTGGGGTGTTCTTGAGCTGTCAAGGAGACAAGAAGCCCGAGTTAATCTGCAGAT